CACCATCTAGATTCTTTCATTCGTGTTAACTAGGTTACATGGTAGTATGAGCTAAGCACCAAAGAGAGCTCTCAATTAAGTGTGGGTCATTGTTCTATAAATTAAGTGGCCTCAGAAGATAAAGGAAGGCTTAGTGTAGCAGGCATTTGAGCTCGACCTACCTAGAAAGATTTTGGTAGGAAGAGGTGAATAGGAAAAAACTATTCCATCTGAAGGAATTCCATTTGAAGTGCCGAGACCCAGGGGCCAGGAAAACATGTAGGGAGCAGACTGATTTGGGGGAGCGTAGGATAATAACTCCATAGATGGACTGTCAAGCGAAGTCTAGGGGCAAAAATACTTAGGGCAGGGATACACAGAGGAAAAGTCCTAGTGGGGGGACATTTTTGTCTGAAAACAGCATGGCTCATCCCTCAGAAAGTCTAGTCTACGTCCTTGCAGGCGAAGGGTTAGGGGAATGAAAAGTAGAGAAGTAGGGAGCCTGGGAGAGGCGCACCACAGTAACCCTGGACCGAGGCCAAGCGAGGGGTTTAGGTTGTACAACATGGCATTTAGCACAGTAGTATGTAGTAGGGGCCATATAGATTGCTTACCCCCTTCCCCTTTTCCCCTTCGTCTATAGTGCTAGGTGCCCATTCTAAGATAGTGGCTGGAATTTGGAGCCAAACATAAGCTGGCTGCAATAGAATCTAGACAAGGGTAGGCTCTCCATTCTGTGGATATGCTATATTCTTCTACTCATAGTCAGTGAATGATTAATGCACATTCTTTTAAGGAATGAATCAGATATTTTTTCAGATTTGAATTATTTCTCTACTGTATGAAATAGTAAATACTTTTCAACTAAAAGATATATTGGGAACTGTCTACTATTTTCAGGCATATTAAAGAAGATAATAATTTAAAAACCCAGTACAGGGGAAGGGAAAGGAATAAGCATTTATACATCACCTACTGTGTGCCTGGCACTGTCCTAAACGCTTTTACCAATACTACCTCATTTGATCCTTATAACAACCCTGGGAAGTAGAAGCTGTTTTTATCTCCATTTTACAGTTCAGGAAACTGAGGCAAATAGAGCTTATGTTATTTGCCCAGGGTCACACAGCTATTAAGGGTCCGAGGCTGGATTTGAACTCAAGTCTTTCTGACTCCAGGCCCAGTGCTCTATCCACTGAGTCACCTAACTGCCTTGCATGTAAATCTTGATTGATAGAATGTGGAGGATGATCCTAAGAACATAGATGGAGAGCTCGAAGGGACTTTAGAGATTATGGAGTACACCCATCCCCTTCCCTAGTCTGTTTTACAGATGAGGAAACTGAGGCCTATGGAAATGATGTGACTTGACCAAGACCATACAGGTGTTAAGTGAGAGAGTCAGAATTTGAACCCAGGGTCCTTTGACTTCAGATCCATAGCTCTTTCCTCTACACTGTGCTGATTGTTTTTACATAGTGTTTTTAGGTTTACAAAGTGTTATCATAGGATCGTAGATAAAAAGCTGGAAAGGTACCTTAAAGGTCATTGGGTCTAATCCCCTTATTTTCAAGATGAGGAAACTGAGGAGCAAAGAGGTTAAATCCCTTCCTGCAGTCACACTCTCTGGGGCAGGATTTAATCTTCATCTCCCCAACTCGAGATGCCACATTCTGTTTATTCCACCATGCTACCTCCTTGAAGGGCATAACAGAATAAAAGTGGTCCAAATGTGAGTAAGTGCAACTTAGATTAGATAGAAAGATCCCCAATTATGGATGTTAACCCCAGCTTGGTTCTGGGATGAGGTGGTCTTTTGAGGAAGGAGGTCAATGGGATGTGTCTGACTTTTGGGGAGCTGTTAAATAATATTAGATGAAACTGCAGGAAAACTTGGATCTGACTCAAGGTTTCTTAGCTTAGGGTCCTTAGACCCCCAAAGCTACATGGATAGATTTTAGAGGATCTCTGAACTTGGATTGGAACAAATTACATCTTTATTTTCACTACCTTCTAATTTAGCATTACCTGTAATTATGAATTTAAAAAAAAAAAAAGAAAAGCATGATTCTGAGAAGGGGTCCATAGGTTTCACCACTCTGCTAAAGGGGTCCGGACACATAAGAGCCTCTGTTTACCTAATACCTGAGTTCCAACACTACTTTGCTCATTTTCTTTAGTATTGTCTAGAGCAACCCCATCTTTAGCATTCAACAAAGCATCCTCCACACATCTGTCAATCAACCAGGCTGTACAAATCTTACTTCACCCAAACCACTTCCAGATTCCCATTTTTTCCATCCTCCCGCCTCCTGGCTCCTTCCAGTCATTATAAATTATGTGTAAAATTTGCATCTTGTATATTCAGTGCCTGGTCTGTCCAAATTTAGAATTCTTGGTTTCACTCTGTCAAATCCTATTTTGAATAGACCCATAAACCCCAGGCCTGCTTTTTTTTTCCCTTTCCAGTTCCACAAATGTAACATTCATATAGTAATGGAGTTGTTTTTCAGTCATTTTAGTCATGTTTGACTCTTCGTGACCCCATTTGGGGTTTTCTTGGCAGGGATAAAGGAGTGGTTTGCCATTTCCTTCTCCAGTTCATTTTACAGATGAGGAAACTGAGGCAAACAGGATTAAGTGATTTGCCTAGGGTCACACAGATCTGAGTCCAGATCTGAACTCAGGTCTTCCTGATTCCAGGCCCAGTGCTGTATCCATTGCACCGCCTATCTGTCCATAGCAGTGGGGAGACGTTTGCAATTGTAGATTGGATTCGTTATGAGGTTTAAAAAAAAAACCCAATACTTGTTGATTTGGCCCTTGGCCTTGTCTTTGGTTAGGAGGCGTAGAGCGCTTGAGGGTGGCTGAACTGAACATCTCTACTCAGGAAGTAGGAAGAACCATAGCGGGGCTGTTTTTAGTTGCATTGAAAGAACAAGGCTCTGGGATTGGGCTGAAGAATCAATTCTACTGTATTGTCTTTTTCTCTTTCCCATTTTCTCTTTCATTTCATGTTTTACTTCCTATGATGGCGTAACTTCTCCCATGGGATCCCTGAAGATTGTCGTTGACACTTGGAAAACCTCTGCCACCGTTATTACATCTGACATTTGTCCGGTGGGAATGACAATCTCTTTTTAAAGAAATCACTGCGGCTTCTCAGCTCTAAATGTGATTTCAGCTATCATTTTGCAAATGAAAAAACTGAGGCCCAAAGAGTTGGACTCATAGATTTAGAGCTGAAAGGGACCTTGGAGCCCATCTGTTCAATCCCCTCATTTTTACAGATGAGGAAATTGAGGCAAACACAAGTGACTCACCCAGGGTTACAGATGGTGTCTCAGAAACAATTTGAAATCCAGGTTTCCTGACTCAAGTCCATTGCTATCTCTGGTCTACCATGTTGCCTTTAAGGTACCCATCTAGCTCGTTAAATATGAGAGAAGTAATAGGTGTTTGTCGTACTACCAGTGAGTAAGTGGTGAGACACTTGGAGAAAGTAACTACTTGTCCATACTATATGAAAAAGTGATTTATTTGTTGGTGGAGCCTTTTTATTCATACACTCCTTCATTCAACCTCTATTTATGAAAAACTTCCATATATAGAGGTAGCCTGCCACAGTGGATAGACCCAGGTCCAAATTCCACCTCTCAGACTTACCAACTAGCTCTCTAACCCTAGGCAGTGCATTGAATTGAACGTGCCTTGGGCAGTTCCCTAAGATTTGTCTGTTTCATATGCCTCGGTTTCCTCATCTTTAAAATGAGGGGTTTGGACTGGGACCCCTTCCAGTACTAAATCTGTGATTCTACAGAGTCATGGGAGTGGTTGCAATCTGCAACGGTGGGGACAATTCACAAACTAGGAGTTCCCTCCACTTGAGAGATCCTTCATTTGTTCATCTACTGTGCACAATGTATGGGGAGGGAGAAAGGGGACAAGCATTTATTAAGTGCCTGCTGTGTGCCTTGAAGTTCTTTGCCAGTTTTCTCTCATTTGATCCTCACAACAATCCAGGGGTTAATGATGATGATGATGATGATGGTGATGATGATGATGATGGTGATAGTGGTGATGGTGGTGATGGTGGTGATGGTGATGATGATGATGATGATGATGATGGTGATAGTGGTGATGATGATGATGGTGATAGTGGTGATGGTGGTGATGATGGTAATGTTGATGATGATGATGATGATGATAGCTAACATATATAGTGCTTATGTACCATGCACAGGGCTAAGCGTATTACAGTTTTTATTTGAGCTTCACAGCAACCCTGGGAGGAAGGTGCTATTATTATCCTCATTTTACAGATGAGGAAACTGAGGCAAACCGGGGTGAAGTGGTTTTTTTCCAAGGCCACACAGATTGTTAATTTCTGAGAGTGAATTTGAATTCAGGTCTTCCTGATTCCAGGCCCAGCATTCGATCCACTGCTTGACCGTAGCTGCATATATAGTCATTATCTATAGAGTCAATCAGTCACTTAACCTCTGTTTGCCTCAGTTTCCTCATCTATAAAATGGGGATAATCATAGCACCTACCTGCCAGGGTTGTTCTAAGCTTCACGTGAGATATTTGTAAAGTGCTAAGCATATAGTCCTAGGTTGATGTTAGCTATGAAGATGGTGTTGAAGGGGAAGATGAATCATTAAAGATTTCTCAAGAAGGGAATCACGTGAACAGGGAAGCACTGTGTAGGACTCTTCCTTATCAAGCAAGAGATGTGGGGTTAGGGAAACCAGTTTGGAAACTGCTGTAGTATTGAGTAATTTACTCTTCCAGCTCTGAAAAAAATCCACCTTTATCCATGTCCCCCAGGAATACATCAGCTTTCTGAAGGCAAGGACTATTTCATTTCCATCTTTATATCTACAGCACCTAGAACAGTGCCTTGGCACACAGCAGGTGCTTAATAAATGCTCGTTGATTGGTTGGTGTTTGTGCTTTTCCAGTCTCCTGACTCTTGATAGAGAAGTACCCAGCTCAAGGTTTCTCTCTTTTCTTCCAGATACTGTGTGTAAGGCTAACTGGAAATAGGACATACCATCAATCACGCCTTTACAGTGTACGGGTGCCATCTGATGGTAGGTCTCTTACCCTCTTCTTTAATTAATTGGTTATGTACTTCCCAAATAAAGTCCCAGCTATGGATTTAAAGTTCTGAGTTAAAACCGGTGAGGTCTGACTGTGTCACCACCCTCTCGGTGAGCTCCCATGGTTCCCAGTTACCTCCAGGATTTATTTACGTGTGTGTGTGTGTGTGTGTGTGTGTGTGTGTGTGTGTACTCTTTGGGGCAGTTAAATCTCTTCCTAACCTGGTCCCTTCTTACCTTCCCAGACACCTTATACATGACTCTATTTCACACCCTCTGAAGCCTTCTAGTAACACGGCCAGGTCGCAGTGTCCTATCTCCTTCCCCCGTACCTGGGACGCTCTGCCTTCTCATTCTTCTTGACTTCTTTTAAGACTCAGCTCAAATCCCATTTACTCCAGGGGTTCATTCCCAGCTGTTAATTCCTTCATTTCTCAAAGTACTTTCTGTCTGTATCATCTCTGCTTAGTTTACGTGTTACCTGTATTCAAAGGGGAACTCCCTGAGGGTAGAGATTGGGGTTTTGGGGGTTTTTTTTGCCTTTTTTTTTTGGGGGTATCCTGAACGCTTCCATCAGTGCCTGGTATATAGTAAGTGCTCATTACATGCCTTTTGACTTGACAACAGTTGAGTAGAGGAGATAAGACCTTTACTATAAATAGTTACGTACAGTATACCATATTTCACTGCATAATTGCTGCACCCTGTTTTTCCAGTCCAAAAATTGGTTTATAACTTTTCATCACATAATCGTTGTATATAATTCTATTCGTCATGCCTCTTAAAAGGTAAACGGAGAAGCAGTGTATTTACCAGTGACATATGGGTACACATTTATCTGTCTCGCATTATGAATTGTCAGCCCACACGCATTGTCAGTATTCAGTTTAAATATATATTCACAAGTGTTCTATGCATCCTAATCTTGCACCAAAGACAGTTTAGTAATAAATAATTTTTAGTTACACCAGCACAGATTTTTTTAAAAAATTAAGAAGAAAAAAAAAATTAAAAAGAAAAGGGCAAGTTTCACATAATGGTTACATCCCACTTTTTTGCAAAAGAATTGGCATAAAATCAGTGACAATTATGCGGTGAAATATGGTAAGCTAATACAAGGTTTAGCTTCAAGTACTAAGTACATGTATATTATTTAATTTGGTCAATCAGCAAGCATTCATTCAACACTTACTACATACCAGGCACTGGACAGTGTACTGGGGAATGAAAAGAAAAGGCACAAGAGTTAACCACCAGCCCTGCCCTTCTGCTGTACATTTCCTGACCACTCTTTTTGGTTAAATTGTACTATGGTTAAAACATAGAAAAGATTAATGACCAAATCAGCATTTCGATTCTGTTAGCTTTAGCTTTTCTCTTAGTTTTAGTATCTGTTGCTTTTCTCCAAAAAGGAAGAAGTAGCTTTGAAACATCTCATCCCTTCCTGCATTATAATTTGTTTTGTTTTTTTTCTTTCTTTAACAGAGGTAGTCATTAATTACAGATACGGCCTTCCGATGATAACCCTGACTTTGCCATCAAGACAGGAGCGCTGTCGCTTTACAGTCAAACCCATGTTAACCACCGTTGGTTCCTTCCTCCAGGACGTCCAGAATGAGGACCGAGGTATTAAAACTGCAGCGGTCTTCTCCACAGGTATTAATTAACCTCTCTTTGTGCCTTACTCCCACGTCTTGTCCTCGTTCCCTGCCTCCCAAACTTTATTTTGGTTCTCTGTTTCTCCGCAGAGGAAAAAAAAAAGGAGGGCTCTTTCTAAACCTTTTTACTTTATTATCATCATCATGCCTTGAATATTTTGCTTTTTCTAAGCAAAGTAATTGCTCTATACAGAAATCATAACAAAAAACAACTTGAGTGTAGACACCTAGGATCTTAGGTCTGCACGTAGAGAGGACCACAGAGTTATCTAGTTTGATTTCCTCATTTTAGAAATGAAGAAACCAAGACCTATGGAGATTAAGTGACTGGCCTAAGGCCACATACTTGCTTTCTTTTTTTTTTTTTTCTTCCACTTTCTGGTGAGGCAATTGGGTTTAAGTGACTTGCCCAGGGTCACAGAGCTAGCATAGTTGCCTTCTTTATTAGAAAGTGAGCTCCCTGAGGGCAGGACAAGTGTGAAAGGCAGGATTTGAAATGAGGCCCTCAGACTTGAGAGCTTTCCCTAAATCTGCTTGAAAGGACCATAATGCAAATTTCAATGACTAAATAAGATTTCATCTGCGTATTATGTCAGTGAAAAATCTGGTGATGATGTGTGGCAGTAGCACTATCCGGTAGTTTATAAACTAAGCAGCAATACTTGAATCATTAGAAAATAAAATAAAGTTAAGCTGATTAATTAAAGTCCTTGGCACAGAATCAAAATGCAGATTTGGTTATTAATCTTTTCTATGTTTTAACTATAGTACAATCTGTTTTTGACTAAAAAGAGTGGTCAGGAAATATATAGCAGAAGGGCAGGGTTGGTGGTTAACTCTTGTGAAATGAGTCATTTTTCTATGTATAATGGAAGAAGAATGACCTGCCTTGTGAGTCAGGACGACCTATTCAAATCCCATCATCTCTAAATTTGCCTAGATTTTTACCCTGTATCACTCCTCTTAGAGAGCCATCCCTTTTAACAATTTATTTAATTAAAAAAGAGGAACAAAATTCAGCAAAATCCATCAATACATTGAAAATATTGGACATTTTTCAGGTTACACTTTAACTTAATATGGGTTTTGCACTAAGAACAAATTCCTTGTTGGTGGAGTCTTAGCCTGCATTCTCCTAAAGAGGAAAAATTATTTTTAAAAATGTATTGTTGGCCCCTTAAAAGAGCTTTCTTGGGATTTTGGTGCTCACACTTTAGCAGATAGGGTAATGTAGTAATACACTCCATAAATCATATTCAAATTATTCCTTTCTTTTAGTGAGATCCTTTTGAAAGGGCTGTTGGAACTCATTTAAATGGAAATGTTTTTAAATGTCACCTGCAAAGTCGGATGAAAAGATTAGGGCATCACAGGGTTGGGGTTTTTTTTGTTGGTTTTTTTTTTTTAAGGCCAGCCGCACAGGCAAGGTGTCTGCCTCTGTATTTAATTTGTGCTTGAAATTGGTGTTTTGAGCCTACTGCATTTTTTTTTTTATCCATTGTGTGGGTTGACAGTTGAGTAAGTTGGCAGTTTGAGCGTATTATAATCTCATCCAAAGCAGACAAACAGGAAACGAGACGGTCCAAAAGGAGGGAGGCAGGTGGAGACTTGACTTACTGCCTCCTTGAAAGAATAAAGCATAAGCAGCAAAGGGACAGATGACTAGAATGTTATAACTTAAAAGTAGCTGCCTTCCATCAGTGCAAACATCACTATGAGTATCTTTGAAGGAAGTTTCTTGATTCTCTGTTTTCATTTGTGGATGATGAGCTTATAGATAATATTCTTTTAACCTTTCTCTCAGTATTACGTTATTTAACAAGTTAGACTTTTGCAGTGAATAAAGAGGGTGGAGAAATTTCAGAGGATCTCTTTTTTCATTGTTTAATAAAGCTGCTAGCTATTTTTTTTTTTTTTACCACCGAGCTTATACTTGATTCAGGAAAATCACTCCACTTGGATGGGTTTCGGTTTTACCTCTTAAAAGAAGGAGGTTGGGGGCAGCTAGGTGGCACAGTGGATAGAGCACCGGCCTTGGATTCAGGAAGACCTGAGTTCAAATGTGGCCTCAGACACTTGATACTTACTAGCTGTGTGACCGTGGGCAAGTCACTTCATCCCATAGCCTCTCTAAAAAAAAGGAAAGAGGTTGGACTAGTAGACAGCTGAGATTCCATCAAGCTCTGACATTGTCTGTGATCATAGGATCAAAGACAAAACTGACCTTAAGGGTCATCAAATCAAGGCCACCCCCTTCATTTTATTGATGAGGAAACTGAGGTTCAGAAAGATTTAAAGCGACTTGACCAAGGTCAGGTGGGATTTGAACTCAAGTCTTCTTGGCTCCCAAATTTAGTACCCTCTCCACCATACCACACTGCCTCTTGTGTAAGGAGATAATGCAAAACACAGAGGTCTTCCAAGCAAGCAGAACATTTCTTCTGAAATGAACTCTTGAGATTTTGAAGTTCCCCATAGAATAAAACCTTTCCTGCCTCCCATGCTTGGTCAGCATCTCTACTTTGGGTTGTTTTCCTCATCTGTCATTCTTAGGCACAAATCTTGTCTGAGAATGAAAAGTCCACTTTGGACAAGGTCAGCAGTGTTGGATTAGCCGTGAAAACAACATTCTCAGTATTGATTACAAAAGGTAATTAAGAGTGTCAGATTAATTTATTTTACTCTCTGGGTACTTATTACGGGGAACTCGTAAAAATAAATCTCTGAGCTGGAAAATTGATTTTGCTTTCACTCAAGGAGCTGGTTTTCAAGTCTTTCTCTTTGCAGATGGGAACAGTATTCCAACTTCAACCCCAATGGAGATTTTGCTTATGAATGATTTTAAACTGATGATAAATGACATGACATATGATGTTCAGTGTCCTAGGAAAGGTAAGAAGCCACAGGCATCCAGAAATCTTCATTTTTGCCTTGAGTTTGGGGGGCTTTGGGGTACAGGTGGTTTGGGTTCATCAAATGATCGAGAGATCTTGGAAGAATCCATATTTTTATAACTTTCAGCCAGTTATGTGTAAAATGGTTTCCAAACATAGTTCCTCACTGTCCTCCCTCCCCAACCCTATGTCCTTTAAAATCTGTCTCATCCAAAAACAAACAAACAAACAAACAAAAAAAACCCTGTCTTATCCACTTTAACTTTGAAAGCCTGGGCTTTGACTCTTGCCTATTTCCTCCAGTAATCCAGTTGGGTGGGGATGGTCAGAATTCTCTTAGATTTCCTTCCTCTCCTTTAAATTGCAGCTCAGACATCACTTCTCTAAGAAGGTATTCCCGTTAATCGCAGCATAACCTGTGCTTCCCTTCCTCGGGAGGTCTGTTTGTTTATTTCTGGACTTATTGTGTATTTATATTAATTCTTACATTAAGTGAGCCCCTCCAACAGTGAGAACACATCTCATCATTATACTTTGTGTTCCAAGTGTTTGTATTGTGTCTGTATAGTAAATATTCATCAAATACTTGTTGGCCAGCCAAGCGAGTGACTTAGCTCATGGGTTTGAGACCTCTGCTGGCCATGGATGCTATCATCTCTGCTATCTAGCACCAGGAGAACAGTATCCCAACTCTTTGGCTTCCTCATCCCACCATAGCCATCAAAATTATACATCTCCAAAAAAAAAAAATCTGGTTTTGGGGCAGCTAGGTGGCACAGTTGATACAGCACTGACCCTGGACTCAGGAGGACCTGAGTTCAAATCCGGCCTCAGACACAAAACACTCACTAGCTGTGTGACCCTGGGCAAGTCACTTAACCCCATTGCCTCACCCAAAAAAAAAAAACCAAAAACCAGAAAAATTATACATCTCTTTTCTGTATGTGTGTATGGATGTACTTTTTGAGGAGGCATTTGAGTTTGCTTTACTTTCCCCTCTTAAAAAATGATATGTTCAATTTAATTTAACGAGCATTTTATTAAGCACTGTTATAGGTGCTCAAAAGTTAAACATTCCCTACCCATATTTTTAATTTAGCCATTCATACAGCTCCCCCAAATGCCTTTTCATTGCCACACACTCATTATTCTAGTTTTGTTTTTTTTAATGAATAAAGACTTGACCAAAATACAGCAGGGGAAAAAAAGATATCTGTTATATTCATATTGCTTTTATTTTTGAATACATCTTCCCTTCTCCCCACTTTTACCCAGTGAGATGTTTCTTGTCACCAAGAATAACAAAAGAGAAAAAAATGCAGTTCAGTAAACCAGCCTATATACTACATACTGTGACAGGTGAAAGATGAAATGACTAAGGAAACAAAGGTTCAATCTTCCGAGCGTATTGATTTACTAAGCAGTGCATGGCAATTACCCAATAAGGCAGGACCAGACCTCCTCACATTAGACCAGGATCCCCAAAAAAGGGGGGCGACAGACTTTTATACATTAAAAACAATGAAATAAGGCCAAATAAGTAATAAAAGAAGATCAAATAAATAAAAGGAAACAACTAGGACATTAGATAATCTGATTTCTAATTGGAGGAAAGATTAGGGACTTTCCAATTTGGGAAGGGTTAAGTGACTTGCTCAGGGTCACACAGCGTGTAAATATCTGAAGCTAGACTTGAATTCAGAATGATGAGTCTTCCTGACTCCAAGCCTGGCTCTCAATAGAGAGCCTCCTATTTGCCTGATCTTTTATGTTACAAAGGGATTTTCCTTTGTTCAGGGGAGAGAGAGTGATGGGGAAGAGAGAAAGTAAATGCTTTATTTGTTATAAGGCTTTTTCCCCACAATGAGGCAAGAGAAAATGTTTGTTCTTTAGAAAAAAAAAAACTAAAAAAATGCTTGTTAATTAAAAAATTGAAAGTAGAACTATATATGAATGGTTAGCGTCCTTGGTATTTAAAATTAGAATGAAAATAAATTATTTTGTGAGGGGTAAAACTAAGAAGTCAATAGAAACACTTCTTCATTTGTTTTAAGAGATGGGAAAGAGAGAGGAGAAAGGAGAAATGTACCTTAAGTACCTGTCTAAGAGTTGGGACAGTTCAGCGGCGAGGGCCTGGGGCTGTCAGAGTCAGAATGAGAACTGGCTGCCTGGACTGGCAGCGTACGTCAGGCCTGACTTGTGATTGTGATCGTCCCTCGATGGTGATCACTGTTGTGTCTTTTCTCAGAAAAACTGAGTAGTGAGCACACGACTGACATGGATGACATCAGGGCCTTGGTACAGAGAATGTTTACTGCCCTGCACGTGGAGGAGCATCAGGTCAAGACAGAACACAGCTTGCTAGAGAGGATTGAAGAACTGAAGGAGCAGCTGCAGCCCATGGAGGAGGTGGGTGATGGTCATCCAGCAAGGGGCCCAGGCAGCCCTTGGCCATGCTCGCCGGACAGCGAGAGGGACCATTCCCACGGAGCGTCAGAATCCACAGAGAAGGCCTTTGCTGAGCCGGGCAAGACCTGGGAGCCAAGCAGCGATTTCCAAAGCTAGTCAGTCCAGAGGGCAGGGGCTGTGAATATGGTCCCCAGGGGCGCAGGCCAACAGCAGCATCAGACCCGAGAATCCAGTGCGTGCATGTGTGTTCTTTCTTTCTTTCTTTCTTGCTTTCTTTCCTTCTTTCTCTCTCTTTCTTTCCTTCTTTCTTTCCCTCTTTCTTTCCTTCTCTCTTTCTCTCCTTCTCTCTTTCTCTTTCTTTCCCTCTCTCTCTCTCTCTGTCTTTCCTTCTGTCACCACTGTGCTACCTAGCTGCCCCAAATCCAGTGCTTTCTAATAACCTAAATAGTACAAGCAGAATGTTAGCAGAGGAAAAAAGTCATTTCAGTTGACTCTTCCCTGATGTGGGAGTTATGTAAGAGTAGAAAATATGCTGGTTCTCAAGACCAAAGGAGGACCAGGGTTCAAATTCTGCCTCTGATATTTGATAGCTATGTGACCTTGGGCAAGTCCATGTGCTTTAATTTCCTCACGTGTAAAGTAAGGGGGAAAGACGAGATGACCTCTGAACTCCTTTCTAGTTGTAGGTGTTGGAATGTATTGACTATAAATAAGCATTTATTTTATATTAAATATACATTATATATAATGTAATATATAATGATATAAAACAAATAATGTAATTACATAATATAGTCTACATATAATATATTACATAATAAAATATGTTATATAAACATAATAAATGATTCTACATAAATATATAATTTATAAACAAGCATTTATTTTATGCTAAATATATAGATATTATATAATAATATATAATAAATAATATAATTACATAATATAGTCTACATATATTACATAATAAAATATATGTTATATAAATATGATATGATTCTATTTAAAGATAAGTTATAAATAAGCATTTATTTTATACTAAATATATAGATAATATAATGTATAATAATATATAACAATATAATTACATAATATATTCTACATATATTACATAATATATTCTATGTATAATATATTACATAATAAAATATCGGTTATATATATATAATATGATTCTATATAAACATATAAATAAATTATACATAAGCATTTATAAGCCCCTGCTATGACAGGAAGCCTTTCCCAGGCCCTCTTAACTCTAGTGCCTTCTCTCTGTTGATTATCTCCTATTTATTCTGTGTCATAGCTTGTTTCTATCTAATTGTTCGCGTGTTGTCTCTCTCCGTTAGAGTGTAAGATCCTTGAGAGTGTTGCTGTTCAGTCATTTCTGTTGGGTCTGACTCTCTATGACCCTATTTGGGTTTTGTTTTGTTTTTTTGGCAAAGATACAGGAGTGGTTTGCCGATTCCTTCTCCAGCTCCTGTTACAGATGGAGAAACTGAGGCAAACAGGGTTAAGTGATTTGCTCAAGGTCGCACAGCTAGTAAGTGTCTGGGGCCAGATTTGAACTCAGGAAGATGAGTCTTCCCGACTCCAGGCCTGGCGCTCTGTGAACTATGGAGCCCCCTAGCTGCCTCCTTGAGAGCTGGGGAACTATCTTTTACCTTTCTTTGTACCCTCACTTAGCACAGTGCCTGGAATATAGCAGATGCTTAATAAATGTCTAGCAGGTGGCACAGTGGAGAGAGTGCCAGGCCTGGAGTTAGGAATACCTGAGTTCAAATCTAGCCTCAGACACTTACTAGCTGTATGAACCTGGGCAAGTCACTTAACTATGTTTGCCTCAGTTTTCTCCATGCCTGTATCCCAAGGTGGTTGTGAGGATCAGATGAGATATTTGTAAATCACCTGGCACACAGTAAGCACTATATAAATGCTAGCTATGATAATATAATTATTATAATTGTTGTTGTTGTTCTTATTAAATGTTTTTGACTGGCTAGGCATACAAAGTAAGACAATCCTTGACCTGAAGGAGCTTGTAGACCAGTAAGATAATACAACATGGTAATAGGTAAATATAGAATATATATGGAATAAATAGAAAATGATGGGGGTGGGGACTGGTAGTAACAACTGGAGAAATTGGGAAAGGCCTCTTAAAGAAGATGGCACCTGAGCTCAGTCACAAAGAACAGTTCCAGGAGGTTGAAGTGAGGAGAGATGGCATTCCAGGTGGGGGGCTCAGCCTCTGCAAAGGCATGGAGTGAGGAGATGGGAAGCCTTTCAAGTATAATAGACCTTATTATCCATTTAATAAACTTTACCATCTCAGATATTAAATTTTGTTGTAATGCTCTTCACTCCCTCTTTTGGCCAAAGTTCAAAATCACCTAAGAGCAAAAGGATACGTGAATGCATTTGGCCTTGTGACCCCTTCAGAAGGCCTAGCATGGCCCAATTTAAATGGTGCCTTGGTCATGTCATTGTTCCTAGCCTTTAATTGACAGAAATGTTCCCATAAATATTTGAAATAATGTTTCTGGGTTCTGTCAAAAGGCCACTCTCAAGGACCTAGAAGGCCACATGGGGCCTGAAGGCTGCAGGTTCCCCACCCGTGCTAGGGATACAAAAAATGACCAGAGACAGTGCCTGCCCTCAAGGACTTACGATATAATGGACAAGTAAGTTCACCTGTCTGTTCTCTTAAGACAAGTCGGAGTCCAGGTACTCATTTGCATTAGTAGAGGGCATTTTCTTACTGAGAGTTCCTTAGAACGTATTTACTCTGAAGGTATCATTAAGAATTCTTAGCGTGGGTCGTTTTGTTGAACTGTTTATTCCCTCTTTTTAATTCTTTGATATAAGGCGTGACTTTCTGGGAGGGGCAGAAGGGAGGATATTGGGGAAGTATGGATATAGAAGTAAAATAATTAAAATGTTAAAAGCTTAATAAAATACATCAGCAGAAAAGTTTCACAATTTCCTGCCCTGTCATGTTAAAAGTCAAGCAACTAGAATCAGTAGTCTACTGAAAAAAAAAAAAAGAATTCTTAGCGCGAACTCCTTGGATTATGAAGGAAATATATGGGAACCATTGCCCTACACCAGTAAAATCATGGTTCTGGGCCAGAAAAGGGCAGGTGTTGCAATTGTAAGTCGATTAATCAGGTGGTGTTTTTTTTTTTTTCTTCCTCAGCTGAAAGCTAAAATTGAAGCTGGCTCAGAGGCCAAAACCAACAGACTCTTGTGGACGGGGCTGGCCTTGATGTCCACTCAGGGTGGAATCCTGGCGTGGCTCACGTGGTGGGTATACTCCTGGGACATCATGGAACCCGTGACCTACTTCATCACTTTTGGCAGCTCCATGACCTTCTTTGCTTATTTCCTGCTCACTCGACAGGTGCGTCTCTGGATAGGACAGTCTGTTTATGGCTAAGAACGGCTATTCATGTAAATTATCTGAGTCACTGACTGCTTGATTCAGTGGTTTGATAGGCTTGCTAATTTTTTGTTCCTTCACACTTTAACAAGCAGCGAGGTGGCAAAGTGGATAGAAAGCTGGACTAGGAGTCAGGAAGACCTGAGTTTAAACCTGGCCTTAGACATTTACTAGCTGTGTGATCCTGGGCAGATCGCTTAACCTCTGCATGCCTCAGTTTCCTCAGCTGCAAAAGGGGGATGATAATAATAGCACCTACCTCCCAGGGTTGTTGTGAGGATCAAATGAGGTATTTGCAAAGCACGTTAAAAACTTAAAATACTATATAAATCCTAACTAGTAGTAGTAGTTGTTGTTTTAGTAATTGTGGTAGTAGTGGTGGTGGTAATGGTAATAGTAGTTGTTATTGTGGTGGTGGTAGTAGTAGTAGCTGTTGTTATTATTGTGGTAGTGGTGCTGGTGGTGGTAGTAGTGGTATTAGAGGTGGTAGCTTGTATTAGTGGTAGTGGTAGTGGTGGTAGTAGTAGTGGTGGTAATAATAGTCGTAATAATAATACTAATAATACAAAATCTAATGTAAAAAATAACTACAAGCAATTCCGTTAGCTAAGGTACCATGCTCAGGTAGGAAGAGATCACCCATTACTGTCATAAAGGGCGAGTTTAATTCCAATTTTTTTCACTACACCTCCATTTGACAATAAAATTGAATAGGGGCAGTTGAGCATAAGGTCAAGAGTATTGCATCTAGTGTCTCAAGACCTAGGTTCAAATCCCTGTTCTCCTGCTCACACCCAGGAGTGATCTTGGAGAATTCAGTTAATCCCTTTGGACCTCAGTCTCCTCATCTGTAAAATGAGGGGCTTGGACTAGATGACCTTTGAGGTCTCTTCAGTTCAAAATACCACAGTAATAATGAAGACGTTTGCCCAGAATCTCTTTTTCAAAACTGGTCAGCTTATTTTCCCAAGTATGTCTTGGAAAGTAGCATCCAGAATAGCAGTAGATCCGAAATGATGCCAGATATTACCTCCTCGTGTTACCTAAGAGATCTCATCAAAGTAGAGAACTTCTACTATATTAGGAGCATAATCAGTCTGTGACCTCGATCTAAAGGTGTCCCAGCAGTTCTCAGGCATGTAAAGGTTAAGTGACTTGCCCTGGGTCACACAGCTAGTAGGTTTCAGAGGCAGAATTTGAATACAGATCTTCCCAACTCCCAACCTCTGCATTCTATTCAGTAACCCATGCTGCTTCATGTTAGCTTAAAAATGCCACTTTCAAAACAAATCATTGATTCTTCTCTCTACCGTGGTTGTCATATTTATTAAGCCAAATATTGAAGTCAGAAGTTCATTAAAATATTGAGGGGAATCTTTTTTCTTTCTTTATTAGGATTATTCTTACTCCCTCATTAAGAACCGACAGTTCCTCTATTTCTTCCACAAAAGACTGAAGAAGAAAGATTTTGATGTGCAACAATACAATAAGTTAAAAGAGGATCTTGAAGAGGTATCTTTAAAATTCCATTTATCTGTAGCTACGTTCGCAAAGCCAGATGTGTATATGTGATGGCTTGCCTCGGGGTCATCCGGTCATTTGCTTTCCAGTTGCAAAGTTCCTCCCAGATGATTTTGGGTTGTTTCTTCCCCCATTTTAAAAAGATACATGTTGAAATATAAAATGGGGCTCCAAACCAATTTATCCTCCTCCCAGGTTTTTGTCTTAAAATTTTATATTTACTCATGTTTTATAGTCTTCATAGAGATATGAATAGCTCACATTTAAATGATGCTTTATACTTTACAGTGTTTCCTTACATTATGGTTCTGTTGGTGTACACCCCCTATACTGTAACTCTCTCACTTGGGATGGTGGCCACCCGTTTACTCTCTGGGCTGGCTTTCTCATCCCATTCTGCCTTATACGACAAGACTGAGTTCTCAGATAAGGACTACCATCATATGCCTCTATTCATACTTTCTCAAGTTCTTAGAGGTAATTTAGGCAAGAATATACTCCCTGTACTTACTACTTGAGGTCTTGAGCCCTCACTGGTGTGCTCCATTTATACAAAATCAGTGATGAGAATCACTAGATCCTAAACACAACCATCTATTTAACAATAAAATAAAAGCAATAACAATAATTTTAGGGGCAGCTGGGAGGCGCAGTGGATAGAGCACCGGCCCTGAAGTCAGGAGGACCTGAGTTCAGATGCGGCCTCAGACCAAACACTTGACTCTTACTAGCTGTGTAACCCTGGGCAAGTCACTTAACCCCAATTTCCTAAAAAAAAAAAAAAAAAAAACACCCAATAATAATAATTTTAATTTCACATGCACTCACTCAAAGCAAATTCAGGAATAATCAATAAACCAAAGTCTACACATAGACCTGAGTCACACTTTACTGTCAGTGTCTGAGGGAGGAGTGAGCACACACTTACACGAGTGAGGAAATCCCATACGCTCAGGGTAACTCAAAACTGTGGTCTTGATGTCATCAGTCCTTTTAGGCAATACATGAAGGATCTTCTCTGCTAATTGCTCTTAGATTGCTCCTCACCACTCTTCTGCTAGGCACATCTTATCTCAAAATCATAAAAGAACTGACGAGCTCTTTTAACTCACAGTCACCCTTAAAAGGGTGTTGAGGAAGTGTTACACTATTATGTTGGCTAGCAGAGAACTCCAAAACTCATCAAACTGGCTCTTTAAAATTTAAAGTTGAAACAAAAAATTAAGGCAGCAGGGCAAACGTACAGTTTATAGGAAAAAGATAACAGTGAAGAGTTGTTTATTTTAACCAAATGCATCCTAGTCCTAGAAGGGTAGGGATTGCTCTTCCTGCTATGAGATAAGATTTTTTTTTTTTTTAAATAGAGCTGTGGTTTCATTGGTGTAGGGAACTCCCAGTGAGTCAGCTTTCTCTACCAATGTAAATCAACACTGGTTCTACAATTTAAGAGTGGAAGAGCATAGCCTTAAGAGACTGGCCCAGGGATACAAAACCTGAATGTGTCAGAAATGGGACTTAAACCCAGGCCTTCCAGACTGAGAAGCATTACACCATGTGGCCTTTCAGGACTAATATTAAACCTAAAAGTAAGACCCCGTGTAGATGGCAGTTTTCAAGTCAAATAAACATTTATTTTGATTTATCAACAATCACTTCCATATGCTTTTGAGTTTAAAATTTTTCTCCCCCTTCCCACCACCCTTCCCAAGATGGCCCACAACCTGACATAGGCTATACATATACATTCCTATTAATCATATTTTCACATTAGTGATGTTGTAAGAATTAGAACCAATAGGAGGAACCACCAGAAAGAGGAAACAAAACTCAACAGAAGAAAAAAAAATAACAAATAGTATGCTTTGATCTGTATTCAAACTCCATAGTTCTTTCTCTGGATGTGGATAGCATTTTCCATCACGAGGCCTTTGGAGATGTCTTAGATCTTTGTATTGCTGGGAAGGGTTCCAGGTGGTACCCATTGTGTGTTTTCAGAATAGTAAAAGAGGGACAAATGAAGGAGGGGAAATGGAGGCCTTTACACCTCCCCAGGTTTGTAGGTCCCTCGACTTCTGCTTTATAGCCGCAAAAACCCTGATGCTTATTATACAGTAATGGATTTAGGATAAACTAGGCACATATTAAATGCAGCCAAGGAAAAGTATGACACGCCATTGTCCCAGTACAGGGGAAAAGCCGTTTTGAGTTTGCCCAAGAATTCCTTGAACACGTGGGTACGTCCCAGCGCAAGACAGGCTACCGATGGGTTTCTCATTCTTTTATTCCATCCTTTTCTGTCTTTTACTTTGTTAGGCTGAAGAGTCTCTGCAGCGTCTGCGCCAGCCTCTCTATTTGCGGTTACCAATCCAGGAAATCAAAGGGAAGAATTGACATCTGCTTTTATTCTTTTATGAATGTTTATTACTTTGTCTTGGGAACTGGATAGTCAATGACTCTGTTATTATAGATTTGAATGTTTCAATAAGGAACAAATAAACTTTTTTAGTTAATGAAGTTTTTTTTAGAAGATAGAAATATTCTGAATTCTAAATCTTATAATGAGGTTTTGATATTTTAGTTCTAATGAGTTAATGAGAGGTCTGGTATTACACTGGGCAGCTAGGTGGCACAGTGGATAGACTGCCAAGCCTGGAGTGAAGAAGACTCATTTTCTTGAGTTCAAATCCAGACTCAGATACTTATTAGCCGTATGACCGTGGGCAAATCACTTAACTCTGCCTCAGTTTACTCATCTGTCAAATGAGCTGGAGAAGGAAATGGCAAAACCATTCCAGGATCTTTGCCAAGAAAACTCCAGAAGTCTTGGACACAACTGAACTGGTATTACACAGGTGTTTGGTTATCAAGGATCTGGGCTAGAAGAGACTTCAGAGGTCATTCTAGTGTCCAGGGGTGGGGAACCTGTGGTTTCGAGGCCACATGTGGCCCTCTGGGTCCTCAAGTGTGACCCTTTGAATCCAAACTTCACAGAACCAATCCCCTTAATAAAAGGATTCGTTCTGTACAACTTGGACTCAGTGAAAAGGCCACACCCAAGGACCTAGAGGGCCATATGGCCTCAAGGCCACAAGTTCCCCACCCCTGTGCTAGTCCAACTCCTTCATTTTCCAGATAAGGAAAGAGGCCCAGAGAGATAAATGACTTGCCCAGGGTTAAATGAGCACTTCAGGGTTAACTTGCTTGGAAAGTAATTACAGCTGAAAATCAAGAAAATATCACTAATTACTATCTGTATACCTGCTTTCCCAATCTCTGCAAAAACTTTGAGACTTTCTCTATGCATGTGTCATGGGCATCCTTGATGAAAGATCTGAGAATAGGTAGTAAGTGATATACCAGTATCCTGTATCTTTTTAGTCATGTATTTGACTGAAAGGTAGAGAATAAATAAATACAAGGATCCCCCACCTCCTCCCCTACTCCCTTAGTCTTTACTATTTGACTGTTTCACAGAATGGATTTGATCGAACAGAAATGTGACCTTAGAGTTCTTAACCTGGGGTCCATGCAGTAATTTTGTTTCAAAAAAAAGTTATGCTGATAACTATATTTCAACATAATTAGTTTGCTTTGCTTTTTACTTTATTTTTATGCATTTAAAAACAATATTATTCTGAGGAGTCTGTAGGCTTCATGATACAAAAAAGCTTAAAAATTTCTGCCTTAAAGCCTTCTCTTCAAGAAGGTATCTGCCACATAAATGTTTAAAACCAGCTGATTTTGTTCAGTGATTGGGTTGATATTAATATCTTGTTCTCTTGATTAACATTTTAATACTATTAGGTGAGCACAGGACGGGGAGTTGTATGCGCCAGATGTTTACCATTGTCAAGGAGGCTGTCCAGTGCTGAGTCAAAAGAATTGTTTTTTGTCCTTTGTTTTCAAAGCTGACCAGTGACTTCACAGAGTGATGTCTTGACTTGTGTGTGAATTGGATTTAAGTGAGGCAGAGTTGCACAAAGTCATCAGCCTCACTCTGTCTTCCAGAGTCATCAAAGTCCAATGGCAAGACAAAAGTCAGGATGACTGGTGATGGCCCAGGGCACAGTAGATGACCTTGGCATCTTTGATGCTTGACCAAGCTCTGAGTGCCCCATAGCACCTGCTTCAGCCACCGTCATGGCCATTGGGAACAGATTGTTCTCATTGGCCCATTCCATCAGGGGAGGTCTTCACACACTTGGGGTAGACACCCCCTAACTTGCTGACAGGTGTGAGGCCCATTGGCTACCCTCAACCTGGTTTAGCCCATCTGCTGAGTTTTACCAGGGTCTGACCGCTGCACATGCTACAGCTTAATGGAGCCACAGGTGAGAGTTGAGTGCCATGTAGGCATCAAAGGTGGATGAGAGCCCTGAAAAGGGCTCAGCAGGCCATCACACCAGAGGTGCTCGTCCTCCCTGAACATCCCATACACCCTATAACTTTGTAAATGGTGAGGGCCTCTGGATGTCTACACGTGAAAGACATTGTGCCAGTTTCTGAAACCTGCAAAGCCTCCTAAATAAGATTCGTAAGTACTCAAGTTTAGCCTAACAATTAACGCATGACAAGTCCAAGCGAGGGGGAGGGGGAGAGAATGTCTAATTATTCAGATGATGATCATGCAGTTGGATGAAAGGCCTATAGTCCATTAGTACATTTGTCTTAGGTAGCCACTTCCCAAGATGGACACTGAAACAGGCTTGAAACTAAGTAAGAGGAGAATGGGTTAGATTGCATTTAGGAAGTTTTAATAAATTTTCCCCTCAAACATGTATGTTTTTTTTTTTTAATGCAAGGCAGTTGAGTTAAGTGACTTGCCCAGAGTTACACAGCTAGTAAATACCAAGTGATCAGGTATCTGAGGCTGGATTTGAACTCAGGTCCTCCTGAATCCAGAGCTAGTACTCTGGATTATCTACTGCACCACCTAGCTGCCCCCAAACATGCATGTTTTAAACACTGATATTCTCTAGTGTTACTATATGCGATGGTCAACCAAGGGAAAAAATCATAAACTAAAGGTACAGGTGATCTAAATAGCAATGGTGAGACACATGGTGGGCACAGGTGAGCCACAGCATATTACCAACAAAGAATTGTGTATCAAAACTGATGTTAAAAGGTACCTCTACCTCTTAGAATCTCAAATCTCCTTCAGAGCTCAGCTTTGGCCATACAACAGCCTTTTTTTAATCTCAGGTTACTACTACCACTCCCTCTAGCCCCGATGAAATCACTTTTTCATTTGAGGAGTGCAGGGACTATTATTTATTCATTTTTGTCTCTTATCTCTAGCACCTAGTATACAATAGGTACTTAATAAATCCTTCGGACCCACTAATCCAAGAGATGTAGAAAAGGAGATGATGGGAGGTCATGGACAGCCTGTGTGGTCTAGTGGGACCCAGGTAACATCAAAAGCTCTAGAAAAGATTTATGGGAAGACAAGAACAGAGTCATTCTGGATGAGTGTGTATTGAGTTATAATCTGCATCAGGAGGACCTCCATAGATGGGATCAAAATATCAAACCTGAAAAACTGCCATGAAAATGATAGATTAGTAAGGTGCATAAATTCATGCCAGCTAACAATCTGATGATTCAGGTTCTGTCTCTGCATTTACAACTATTTGTTTAAGGACCAGTGACATCCCAGGTGATATGTCTTGCCGTGTGCATGAAATTGGATTTAAGTGAGGCAGAGGTGCACAAAGTTGTGACGAGTCGCCATCTCTGAGCCCATGTCCTCATCTGGTACCGCTCATCACAATTCAAGAACAAGACCCAATATGCTAGCACCGACAGTCCTGTGTTTAATGTTTCTATCTTTCCCCAAGTAAATGGACCACCCCCCTGAACATCCACTTGCGTTTTTAGCATGCTGACATGATGTAAGTTACAATCGATGTAAACTGCTCTTTTGACTTCAGTGACCCAAACAATGAGATTTTGATACTTCTAATTCAAGCATTTATTAAGCACCTACTGAGTGATGAGTGCTGGGGATACAAAGGCATAAAAGTATTAACTTTTAAAACCTCTCTAAAGGTGCTCAAAGTCTAATGGGGGAAACAACATGCAAATATTTCTATACAAACAAGATATATCCAGAATGAATTAGAGATAATCAACAGAGGAAAGACACCAGAAATTCCAAATATGTAAAGGTATTTGAATTTCTAGCCCATTCATGAAATTAACTTCCAAGTAGTACCTGGACACATATTTTTGGGGACTAGACAGGTGATTTCATTGGTATGAGACAACTTCTATCAATTCAGAATTTTATCTCCTCTCCAACTTAGAATTTGAGTGAGCTGCCTAGCCTAGGGCATTGAAAACTTGGCACTTACCCTGAGTATGTTAATACAATGTTCTGCCTGATTGTGAGACCCCATGGAAATGTATGGTGATAAAAAAGATAGAACTTCTTTCTACCCAGGTGGGATCCACAGTCAACCATATTGGAATGAAAATGAAAGGAATCAACATAGAATTACATAATTTTTTATTACAAAAGCACCCAATTATTATCAAAACAATGTAGTAAATGTAAACAAAATTTTGTCCATCCATATTGCTTCCAAAGCTGAGTTCTTATTGTAGCAACTGAGCTTAGGGTACATTACTGTAAAAAACTATTAAAATAATCACATTTAAGACAGAATGACAGTACAGTGGTTAAAGCATTTAATTTCTCTGAGACAATCAGAAATGTATAACATCTGCCCAAAAGCCCAGGAAATTGTTCATGGTCTGTACACCAATTAAAACATTCTGGGGTGTTGCCTCTTTGGAACAGGGTCAGTGGAGAGTGGTGACTATAAGTATTATGCCTTCACAGGGAGAGGGGGAGAAGAGGAGGTGGGGAGTTAAGATTAAGAGAAGGGCAGAAACATTTTGGCTGCCGATAACCAACCAACCGCTGGGTCTGGACGGAGGACAAGAATCTCACTGACCATTAGGTATGTGCCTAAATGCCATGTGGGAGAGCCTCTCCCAGGAAATAACCAATTGGAACAAGACATGAAAACTACTGCTTAAATATTCAACTACATTATAAGAAACCAAAATGAATCATCTTTAGCCTTTGACAGCTAGGTTGCTGGTTTTGCAAAGCACTTTAAGGTTCAGAGACCTGTGGTTTAAAAGAATATATATTCATTAACTTGATAATCTGTGAATGAAATCAGTATTAGTATGGCCACCTAAAGAGGTGATCACTAAATTATTAAATCACTAAATAGTGTTTTATCTAAAAAAAAAAATGTTTTAAAAGGTCTAATCTAAAGAAAGTCCTGGGGGAAAAGGAATCTTAAAAGTTTACAAATTTGCAACACTAAAATTTCAAAGATTCATTTAAAATTTGCAGCACACTGACTAGAAAATCTGGGGGAGGGGGAGTTACAATGATGAAAATCTTCTGCAAGATATATTGTATTTAACCTGTCAATGATTAATTGACAATTTAGAATCTGAGAACAGAACTTATAGAAATACCTTGTCTATATAATCACAAATTCATTACCCTAAAATAGGATCACAGATGAAACACCATTAAAGCAGGAAGTGGGTCCCATAGGAATGATGTCATAAAATAAAAGCGTCTTGAATGGGGATGGAGTCGCCTTGGCAGTCTCAGGTGTAGAACACTGGGAAGCCAAGGGGTTTGGCGGGGAGAGGGGCAAGAAGGAAGAGAAGACATGTACAAAGGCTGAATGATAATGCTCTCTGATGGGTTGGGGGCACAAGCTTTAAGTTTAGACAGGGGAAGTATCCATTTATTGGAAAGTATGTATGCAGGTGGCGGGGGGGAGATAGGGGTGTTGGTGGTTATTATACATTTATGAAACACCACGGAGATTTAAGTAAGAACATTTTTTTGGGGGGGGGGGGACTAAGCAATGGGGTTAAGTGACTTTCCCAGGGTCACACAGCTTGTGTTATATATCTGAGGCTGGATTTGAACTAGAATATGTTTTTTTTTAATGTCTTATATAAAAACATACAAAAAGTCCCAGAGAAGATAAAAGTGTTCCCTTTAAATTGAAATGTTAGTGGAAAATGACTTGCTGGTTTTTATTTTTCACTCAAGGATCTAAAAAAGCTATGAATGAATATTAGAAAACAGACTTTGGTCAAGAAACAAAGATACCACAAGTACAAGTTAGAACCACCTGATAATTTAGGTAGGCTACCGATTAATAGAATGTAAGTCGATGAGTCATAAACTCTTGGGAAGGTGATTCCCTGATATTCCCTGAGAATGCTGTCAACACGCTAATCTGCAAATAGGACCAAAGCTCTAAAAATGAAGATTAATGGATGTACCAATTTTGGGTAAAACTGTTAACAGTTTCCCACTGAAAATTGTGCCACTGAACAGTGAGGTTCTGTCCCAAAATGGGCATCTGATTAAAAAAGTTTAAAGGCACTGGATCCCATCTCAAGATGTTAACTGTACAAAAAAAAAGAGTGAGGAGGAGACTACCTCCAAAACGTGTGGCCACCCAGACGTTAGTTAGACTTTGGAAGGAGAAAAAGCTTTTTGGTCAGCATGGAGGCAAAACAAGGAACCTGCTTTTTCCCAATGGCTTTCGGGTCCTTGCAGAAATCCACTCGGCGTTGAGAAACCTTCCTGTTCACCAGTGTGAGAAGTTCTGTAAACTCTAAGGAGGAGCCGTACTTTCCCAGCATCTCACACAAGTCTTGAATGTACCAGGAGCCCTTCACTGTTTCACGATGAGAATAATAACCTGGCAAAGACACAGAAACACAAAATGCCCAGACTTTAGCACGGTGCCTAGCTTTGGTTTGTCAGAAGTTTATGTGGCTCTCAAGAGGCATCGTAGTGTTTGATTTTGCCTTAAATGCTCAAGAGTAAAGCGGGACAGAATCATAGAAGTCGTGGGATTTAAAGGAAGAAGGCGGCTGAGCCAAGGGGGCCCAGTGGAGAGGTTCCCTGGCCTACAGTCAGGAAGCCCTGAGTTCAAGTCCTGCCTCAAATCTAGCTATGTGACTGTGGACAAGTCACTTAACTTCTCTCTGCCTGTTTCCTCAGCTGTAAAATGGGTTGTTTTGAGGATCAAATAAGATAATAATTATAAAGTACTTAGCACAGTGCCTGGTACATAGTGTTGTTGACTCAGTCGTGTTTGACTCTTTGTGATGCCTTTTGGGTTCTTCTTGGCCAAGACAATGAAGTGGTTTGCCATTTCCTTCTTCAGCTCATTTTACAGATGAGGAAACTGAGGCAAACAGGGTGAAGTGACTTGCCCAGGGTCACCCAGCTAGTAAATGTCTGAGGTCAGATCTGGACTCAAGTCCTCCTAACTCCAGGGCCAGTGTTCTATCTGCTGGGTCTAGCTGTCCCTATTGAACATAGTCAGCCCTATATAAATGTTAGCTATTATACATCATCATCGTCATCTTGCCTATAGGGAAACCCAAGGCCCAGAGACACGAAATCATTTGCCAAAGTAATGAAGATAGCAAAGAGCAGAGCTCTCTGATGCCCATCTCGGGGTTCCTGTCCTTTCATAGTCAATCACCTGATCAACAAATGTTCACTGATGTGTTAGGCGCCGTGTGAGATGCTAGGGATACAGCTACCAAGAAAATTGGACAATCCCTATCTGCAAGGGGATTCTACTCTAACGGGAAGACAACAAGGACAGACAGACCGCTACTTACAGAATCAATATGAAGAGAGTAAATACAGAGTAAATGTAAGGTCATTTCCTTTAGAAGACAGCATCCGTTCCCTTTAATTTTAATTCACTGTTTTAAAAAAATGACCAGGGCTGGCAGGTGGGCACTAATATAAGCTGAGGTGAGCAGGATAGGGAGGAACTAGAATTGGATATTTACAGGTGAGGAAACTCTCGCACCTAGTGCAGGCTGGCACTTTTTCTCCAACCTACAATCCTAAAGAACTGCCTAGAACCCGAACAGCTTAGGAGCCATGCACAGGGTCACACGTCAGAGGCTGGCCTTGGCACCCAAGTTTTCCTGGTTTTGTGGCCAAACTCTTCATCCACTGTGCCATGCCGAGAAATACAAAGTGAGACAAGGATGACCTACTTCTATGGTTGGGGTTATTGATCTATTCTATGAACTGTTACAAATATCCATTCTTAGGGGCAGCTAGGTGGCGCAGTGGATACAGCACTGGCCCTGAAGTCGGGAGGACCTGAGTTCAAATTCAGTCTCAGACCAAACACTTGACACTTACTAGCTGTGTGACCTTGGGCAAGTCATTTAACCCCCAACTGCCTCACAAAAAAAAAAAAAAAGACAAAACAAATATCCATTCTTAAAACCATTTGGGTGTCATTGGCTTCCACTGAAATGCTACTTTATGGGGGCAGCTAGGTGACACAGTGGGTGGAGCACTAGCCCTGGAGTCAGAAGGACTTGAGTTCAAATGTGGCCTCAGTCACTTGACACTTAACTAGCTGTGTGACCCTTGGCAAGTCATTTAACCCCCCTGCCTAGCAAAACAAACAACAAAACAAAAAAGAAATGCTACTTTATTTTATGCATTTAAAAGCAATATTCTGAAAGGGGATCCAGAGTTTTCACCAGACGGCCAAAGGAGTCCATGATATCTCTTGCTCCAGAGCCAAGGAACCAAAGAGAAACATTACCGTCTTGATGTTGCTTTCCAAGAATCTGACCCCAAGAGATCATCATCATCTGTAACTGGCAAACAGGCCATTCATGACAACATAGATGCAGACATGGGTCCAAATATAGATCAACTCTCCCCCCACCCCGATACATCTTCTAACAGTCATAGATATATCCTTGTAGGAGTATAGCCTATGTATGGGGGTGACTGCTATCTGGACCCAGTAGTAGTACTTCATGTTTAAAGTAGTTTGTGTTTGTGGCTTGATTTAAAACTAGATGTTTTAACTGATTTCACGTGTGATTTTCCAGATTATGTTTTAGTCTCAATTCTGTGCCAAATTCCAGGTGTACTATTTATCACTACTCTTTTTTTATTTTTAGGCAATTGGGGTTAAGTGACTTGCCCCAGGGATCAGTTTTCCATTTGAGTTTGACAGGGCAGCTAAGTGGCGCAGTGGATAGAGCACTGGCCCTGGAGTCAGGAAGACTTGAGTTCAAATCCGACCTCAGACACTTTATAGTTACTAGCTGTGTGACCCTAGGCAAGTCACTTAACCCCGTTGCCTAGCCAAAAAAAAAGAAAAAAAAAAGAAAATACTATTTGAGTTTGACAACACAGTTCTGAGCAGTTGGCAAAATGGAACCAAAGGTCTAACTGCATCAGCTGTGTACTCAGTACATACTCTAACAGTTCCCTATGACCTCTAGGATGTCCCCCTCCCCCCACCCTTTGGTCACCTTGTGTCTACTTTGTATATCTCATATATACACAGAAGTGTATGTGCTATTTCCCCTGTTAAAGTGAAAGCTCCCTGAGGACAGGGGCTGCTTCACTTTGGTCTGTGGATTCCAGTGCCTGCCTTTGGGCATCAGAGAGCTCTGGACTTTGCTATCTTCATTACTTTGGCAAATGATTTCGTGTCTCTGGGCCTTGGTTTCCCTATAGGCAAGATGACGACGATGATACTCAGTGACTCACCAATTTAGGTACAAAGCCTTGATTCAAAGTTTCTAAGGAGAACACACAAAATGGAAACTGAGACAAAAATAAGAGCAAGATCTACCAACCAAATTGCAATATGATCCAGCCATTTTGGAGAGCAATTTGGAATTACGCCCAAAGGGCTATCAAAATTTAGGGCTGTATCCCAAAGAGATCATACAAATGGGAAAAGGACCCACATGTACAAAAATATTCATAGCAGCTCTTTTTGTGGTGGCAAAGAATTGGAAATTGAGGGAATGCCCATCAGTTGGGGAATGGCTGAACAAGTTGTGGTATATGAATGTAATGGAATACTACTGGGCTATAAGAAATGATGAGCAGGTGGACTTCAGAAAAACCTGGAAAGACTGGTATGGACTGATGCTGAGTGAAGTGAGCAGAACCAGGAAAACATCGTGCACAGTAACAGCCATGTTGTGTGATGACTAATATTGATAGACTTAACCCTTCTCAGCAATACAAGGATCTAAGACATCTCCAAAGGCCTCCAAAGAACTATGGAGTTTGAATGCAGATCGAAGCATACCATTTGCCCTTTTTTTTTTCTTCTGTTGTGTTTTGTTTCCTCTTTCTGGTGGTTCCTCCTACTGGTTCTAATTCTTATTTACAGCATCACTAATGTGAAAATATGTTTAATAGGAATGTGTATGAACAGCCTATATCAGATTGTATGCCATCTTGGGGAGGGAGGGGGAGAAAAATTTAAAACTCAAAAGCTTATAGAAGTGATTGCTGATAAATCAGTAAATTAATTAAAAATTTAAAAAAAAATCTACCAAACAAACACTCCTAGAAATAGTTAACAAACCTTCTGCAACAGAGTAGCACATGAGGAAGTCGGCTCCGGCAGGGAGAGTGTAAATGGATGCAGCATCTATTTCTGTTTCATTGACATCTGCCTGGTTAGTCTGATGATCAACCACATCTAAAGGCATGACCGGTACATCATGCTGGTCTCCCCGACATGCCTAATAGAATCAGGGAGAAGAGTCAGATCAGCACCCTCAGACATATAACACTTACTAACTGTGTGACCCTGGGCAAGTCACTTAACCCCAATTGCCTTAAAAAAAAAAAAAAGCTAATGAATGACTACTAAATTGTTCATTACTAAACATTAAACAATTACTAAATGCCCCTCTGGGGATGGGGATGGGAAGTCAGGTGACTGCCCAGATAGTAAAGGAATTTGTTTCTACCAGTATTCCAACCTAAAAAATTCAAAATAAGGAAACAGCCAGATCTAAAGCAAATAAAGCTGAATCTGAAAGATAAGAAGACACACACACACACACACCAAGGGGTGTGCTGGAACCAGCTGGAAATAGACTAGTGGCAGACTGTTTCAGTCTTTCACTTCAGAAATCCTTGATTTGTTGATTTATTATTGTTTTGTTGACTGCCTAGACTTAACTGGAAGTGACAAAGACAAATCTTAAGGCAGATCAAACTTAAAAGTGTGTTGGGAACACTTTTTTTTTCCTGGAGAGCTGCTTGTTAAACATTTACAAGCACACCCTTACATATGCCACCATGCAAACTAGAAGGATGACTCATGAAATAACAGTCAAGTACTTTAAATATTTACAGTTCCTATTCACCAAGGTTAACTAGGTGGTGCAATGGATTGATAAGAAGACCCGTTTCCCTGAGTTCAAATCTGACCTGAGAGATTTACTGGCTGTGTGACCCCGGGCAAGTCACTTAACTGTTTGCCTCAGTTTCTTCATCTGTAAAATGAACTGGAGAAGGAAACGGCTCTAGTATCTTTTCAAAGAAAACCCCAAATGGGGTCATGAAGAGTCTGACATGACTGAAAAAACAACTCAACTAACCTGGTCTCCAGACAGCCCCAGCCAGAGGGGCAGTCACTGTAAGGCAGCAACTAGGCTGGAGTTTCAAGGAGTTGCCAGGTCCCCAATGGTCATGACTAAGGCTCTCTCACCACTCCCACCCCCATCCCCTCTTTAAAAAAAAAAAAAAAAAAAAAGGCACTGATTCTATCGAGCCATTCAATGGAACAGGGAAGTCCTACTGGAGGTGGGAGATAGGGGTGGGGGGTAGGTATGAGATGAAGTAAGGCAGAATCTGCTAAAGAGGAAAGGGCTTCTGTGCCCAAGGAAAACAGCATGATAAACCTATCCAGAGTCGGTCTTCTGCACTGACAGGGTTTACTCATTTTTCAGTTTATTCATTATTCAGGGTTTAATCTGAGAAAGACATCAGTCAGGCCGCCAAATTCCCCAAAGAGGGGAGGCTAAAGATACCCCATGGCAGGGGTCTGTATGGGAGAAAGTATCTCAGCATTAAAGGGCAGAATGCATATATCTATATCTATATCTATCTATCTATCTATATACATATCTCCAAGAGAAAGAATCTAGAAATAAGCCTGGTTCCCAAACAGATAATCAGTGAGACTAAAAGGCAAAAGAGAGAATGAATAAATATTTTTCAAAAGGGCAATAACACAAAAATAACACTGAGATTTTTTTTTTAAAGGGCAATAACACAATGAAATTACTAAGCATGACTTCACATGTATAATGCGTATCATACTGCTTGCCTTACCAATGGGGTGGGCTAGAGGCTGTAGAGAGGGAGAGAATTTGGAACTCAAAACTTTAAAAATAAACATTAATTTTAAAAAAATATGTAAAAAAAGAATTTATTATGAATATTATTACAAAAGAAAAAGAATGAAAAATCTTCAATGATTAAGAATCCTACAGAATCCCCAGAGGTCACAGAATAACAGTCAGGTAGTTCCCAAGAGAAATACAACTTGCAGAAGGAGGGCTAGAAATTAGGTCAGAAATCTAAGCTCTCAAAAGTAGAATTAAGGAAGATCGGCATCAGAGCAGACGCCTTAGAATAAAATGGAGGAGCTCCCCAAAGGAGCAGAAGTTCTGAGAAAGAGAACAGATTTGAAAGTCAAAAATATGAAAGCAGAGGAAAAACTGGCAGAAGAGAAGCAAGGCACAGTTAACTTTGAAAGAGAGCCCCATGCAGCTAAAACAACTGACTTTGAAGACTGAACATGTACATAATTTAAGGACTCTGGGTCTCCCAAAGAACAGATTATCTCACTGAAATACTGTAGAAAATCTCTCTCACACACATCCACTTAGCCAGAATTTTTTAACACAAACAATGAAATCTTGATTGATCAAATGCAGATTGCCACCAAAGAAAACTCCCATGTGAAAGGCTAAATGAATGGCGGTACATGAATATAATGGAACATGACTACGCCGTAAAAAATGATGAAAAAGAAGATTACAATGAAGCACGAGAGAGAAAGGAAAATAACTAGAAATCAAGGAAAGAATACACACAACTGGAATAATATTAGTGGAAGAATTTAAATCAAATGCTGTCAAATTTAAATTACCAAGTTTAAGCTTAAAGAAAATGTACCACATCCAGAGAAAGAACTTAGGAGTCTGAATGCAGATGGAAGCATACTATTTGCTCTCCTTTTCTTTTGTTGTTTTGTTTCTTCTTTCTTGTGGTTCCTCCCATTAGTTCTAATTCTTTATATCATGACTAATGTGAAAATATGTTTTAATGTGAATGTACAAGTACAGCCTATGTCAGATTGCACGCCATCTTGGGGAGGGGGGAAGAAGAAGGAGGGGAAGAAAATTTCAAACTCAAAATCTTATGGAAATGAATGTTGAAAACTAAAAATAAATAAATTATTAAAAAAAAAAAGTACCTCTCCAAAGTGTTTAAACTGACCCAAATGCAAGAGTGGTTCCTGTTATGTGTACTGTGATAAAAATCCCCCATCAAAAAATGATTTCCACTTACTTCCTTCTTATTCCTTCCAGACTAGCCCACAAGAAATAGTTTAAAATACAGGAGCAAATCAATCAGGGAATGGCTGAACAAGTTGTAGTATATGACTGTGATGGAATACCATTGTGCAACAAGAAATGACAAGGGGGATGATTTCAGAAAAACCTGAGAAGATTTATATGAACTGATGCAAAGTGAAGTGAACAGAGTCAGGAGAACTTTGTACACAGTTAACAGCAAGGTTGTAATGAGGATCAAATATGAAAAAGCTGGCTACTACGATCAATAAATACAATGATTCAAGACAATTCCAAAAGACCCATGATGAAAAATGTTATCCACCTATAGACAGAGAAGTGATGAACTCTGACTGCTTTATTTTCCTTGTTTTGCATGTGTTTTCTTTTGCAACATGGCTAATAGGGAAATATTTTGCATGATTTCATAAGTATAATCAATGTCATATTGCTTGCCTTCCCAAGGGGTGGGGTAGAGGCAGAAGCAGAGAGAGAATTTGAAACTCAAAATTATAAAAAATGAATGTTAAAACTTTTTTATGTAATTGGAAAATATTTAATGAGATAAAATATATTTAAAAAATAAAATACAAGGGCAACACTTTTCAAATTAATTTTAAAATATTAATAATTAATAATAAAAAACAGAGGCGAGGCAAAGACAAGCACTCACAAGTCTGTGCTCTTTAATCAACTTTTCTTCCAGTGGGCCTGTGATGATTGTAGCCCCTAGAGAACCAAGATAAATTTGTGATATGCTCATTCATCCATTTCCAAAACAGTCAAGTTCCAACCACCAGACAATTCTTTTTGGTTGCTTTGCCTTCAGCCTCGGACTAGCCTGGGAATTAGCATAAGAGCAGTTTTGTGAGTCGCCCATATTTTAAGTCTAAGCACTTGTTTTGCTAAAACCAAGATATCAACAGAATTCACAATGAATTAATAACTGCTCAGGGTTCTTCCTTGCAAAGGAAGTGGCAGGAATTCAAGAGAACAATCGTACAATAACTGCAATCATTTAGATGAAAATGACAATGCTAAGAGGCAGCTCAGATGAAATGCAAAGTTCAGTCCTGTTTCCAAGGAACAGGTGATGAAACATGCCACGTTCCTCAACAGTCAGTCAACACAAATTTATTTAAGCACTTACTGTATGCCAACTGGTATTGATCAAACGTAAGTCTGATCTGAGTCCAGAAGCCTTTTTGTGCTGTTTTCATTAACATTACTATTTTTATTGTATAAATTGTTCTAACTGAGAACACTGATACTTTCCAAGAGTAGTCTGAATGGTTATTAATTCTTTATGAATTCTATGTGCTGAGAATTGAGGATATAAAGAAACATTAACAAACAAACAAACAAACAAACAAAAAAACAAACAGTGCCTGTCCTCAGGAAACATGCATTCTGGGGCAGTGGACAGAGCTCCAGCCTTGGAGTCAGAAGGACCTGAGTTCAAATTTGACCTCAGACACTTGACACTTACTAGCTGTGTGACCCTGGGCAAGTCACTTAACCCTGAGGACTGCCTCACCAAAAAAAAAAGAAAAAAAAAGAAACATACATTCTAATAGGGAAGACAACTTAGAGGTGGGAGACTACAGACATCAAAAGTTGCCTATTCTTACAGACAATGTGTTTTGCTAACTTTTTCTGTGTTAAAATGGGGGAGGGGGTGGGGAGCTCTCAACAACTGAGAAACAGCTAAACAAATTGTGGTTACTGAATTTACGGGACTATTATGTGCCATTATGAGATGACCCAAATACAGAGAACAGAACAGAATAATAATAATGATAATAAAAATAATAAAACAGAAGAATACAGAGAACCATGGAAAGGTTTACATGATCTAATGCAAAGAGAAATAAACAGAAATAGGAAAACAATATACATAATAACTTCAATACAGTACAGCAAGAAAAAATTGAATCTAAGCATTATGTAATTATGAGCAGTGAAAAAGCATGTAAAAGAACAGAAGACAGTTCAGAGGGAGACAGAGATGAGTAGGACAGCTTTGAAATGAATGTTCTGAACTCATTATTTACAATTTTTTTTTGGCTGGGCAATGGGGTTAAGTGACTTGCCCAGGGTCACACAGGTAGTAAATGTCAAGTGTCTAATGTCAGATTTGAACTCAGCTCCTGACTCTAGGGCCAGTGCTCTATCCACTGCACCACCTAGCAGCCCCTATTATATAGTTTCAAAAAAGGAAACAAGGGCCAGCTAGGTGACTCAGTGGATAGAGCTCCACCCTTGGAGTCAGGAGGACCTGAGTTCAAATCCAGCCTCAGACACATACCACACATAACACTTACTACCTCTGTGACCCAAGGCAAGTCACTTAACCCCATTGCCTAGTCAAAAAAAAAAAAGGAAACAAGGGGCAGCTAGGTGTCAGGAGGACCTGAGTTCAAATCCGGCCTCAGACACTTGACACTTACTAGCTGTGTGACCCTGGGCAAGTCACTTAAACCTGATTACCTCACCAAAAAGCAAAAAAAATAAATAAATAAATAAAAAATAAAAAAAGCTATTTCATAGCAGAGATTCTTAATTTCATGTTCATGTTTTTTGTTTTTCTTTTGTTTATTGAAATGTACATGCTTGTTAGTGTTTGCAGAATAACAAAAATTTTTTAAAAGAAAGTAGAGAGCTTAGATTTTGAGCCCAAAGAAGAGAACAGAATAAAGTTCCACTCTTTATTTGCAGTGGTGTGGGTCTCTAAGTACAGAATACTGCATATACTGTCAGACTTGACTGACACTGGTTTTGCTAAATTGCATTTTTCCCTCCTTTTAAGAAAAATTCTTTGATAGAGGGATGGCTTTCTGTTTGGGTTATTGATATGAAGAAATGAAGGCAATGTAAAAACAAAAGATAACAAGAAAACATAAACTAAAAGGGAAGGGGGTCTTTTGGGGAAGCTAGTCTACTGAGTAAAAAAATAAACCTTAACAGGGTACGGTTTGGGGGTGGCGGCAAGGTTTCCAGACATAGTAAGGTTTAACCAGGGATCTTCCTAATCTAGAAGTTCTAGAAATTGGGGCAGCTACGTGGTACAGTGGATAGAGCTCCGGCCTTGGAGTCAGGAGGACCTGAGTTCAAATTCAACCTCAGACACTTGACACTTACTAGCTATGTGACCCTGGGCGAGTCACTTAACCCCAACTGCCTCAGCAAAAAAGAAAGAAAAAAGAAATTCTAGAAATCAAGAAAATCTAGAAAAAGGCACTTGCCCTTGAAAAGGTTTTTGTGAATCCTTCATAAACAAATGACTAGAACCATGAACTTTTCCAAACGACAGACATTACTCTTACCTGAATGATGAATATCTTAGGCTTCCCAACTAAGCTCTGACATCTGTCTCCTTTAAACATGGCGGTCAGCTTCTGAATATCAATTTTGGCATCGTAAGCATAGATGTGATTTCCTTCACCATGGGTCAGGAACACACACAAGAGGCAGTCAGCATCCACATGGCTAGAGGTGGACACTGCAAGGAATGGTCATGGAGAGCTCAGATAGGGAAAACAAAGCATCCAATTCTACGGGTGAAAATAGTGGTAATCTGGGGCAGCTAAGTAGTGCAGTGGATAGAGCACTGGTCCTAGAGTCAGGAGGATCCGAGTTCAAATCCAGCCCTCAGACACACAATGATACTCACTAGCTATGTGACCCTGGGCAAGTCACTTAACCCCAACTGCCTCGCCAAAAAAAAAAAAAATAGTGGCGATCTATCAGTAATTTGGAATAGAGTGGGAGGGGGTGAAAAAATCATCTAGCTTAGTGAAATGCAAAAATACAGGGTTATCTTAAAATCTGCTTTCCAATACTGTGCTTATTGATGTAAATAAAACTGGGTCCTTTAACTGGATTGTAGCAGGTCCCTTCCAGTTCTAAATCTACGCTCTTGTGAAAATAAGTTACTCATAAGTGATGCTTCACCAATCTATGATTTCATTGCTATGGGTCCTTCTCCACCGGCACAGGCCATCAATCTATCAGTGACCTAGTAGATGCTCTCTGCGTTTGGCCAGAGCCAAAAAATTCATCCCCAGGGGCCAATATGGTGATACAAATTAGCATTTATACGGTGCTTTGAGGTTTAACAAACATTTTACATCTCTTATTTCATTTGATCCTCACAACAACTGAAAGGCAGGGGCTATTATTACCCCCACTTTACAGATGAGGAAACTGAGGCAAACAGAGGCTAAGTGAATTGCCCAGGATCATACAGCTGGTAAGTGTTTGAGGCAGGATTCAAATTCAGGTCTTCGTGACTCCAAGTCTAGCATCCTATCCACTATGCCCACTGGTTGGCCCCGAATGGGCTTAGCAAAGTTAGTCCTCAGACGACACATGTACACACAGTCTATCATTAGTCTTTATTAGAAACTTTTCCATCTTATAGGACTTATTTGCCCTTCAGTGGCATAGTCATCAAGGCCCAGGGTTACTCTCGTGTACGAGTGAGGCATCAGGGTAGGACACCATTGGAGGGAAGTATGTAATAATGCATTATAATGACAAACATCATGAAAGTCCATCAATTGAGGAACGACTGAGCAAATATGGAATTTAATGCAATGGAATACTATTGTCCCCTAAGACATGACGAAAGGAACAATTTCAGAGACCTCTGGAAAGACTTGTATAAACTAATGCAGAGCAAAAAGAACAGAACAATTTTTATACTATTACACTGACATTATATATTAAAAAAAAAAACACAATTTTGAAAGATTTAGGCTGATCAACACAATGACCAAGTAAGATTCCAGAGGACCAGTGATGGAATTATGTGACCCACCTCCTGACAGGTGATGGACTCAATAAGAGTCCATAATAAGACAGATGGACATGGGCCAAATAAGACATACATCTGGACATTGAACATGGCCAATGTGGGAATTTATTTTGGGTTTCCTTTTATTTTTTTTCTTTATTTCTTTTAGTGTGGGCCTGGGGTGGGAGGAAGAGAGAAGAGAAAATAAATGCATAACTGAAAAAATTTAATTTTAAAATGTATCCTAAACATATAAATCACAGGATTATGTATCCAGAGCTAGAAAGGCCCTCAGTGTTTTTTTTTTTTAATTGTTGTTCGTCCTTTATTTTCTTTCTTTTTTTTAATTTTAATTAATTAATTTTCAGTTTTCAGCATCTCAGTGGATTTCTAATCCAATCCTCTCATTTTACTGATGAAGAAACTGGGGGGGGGGGGGGTGAGGAAGTATTAAATGACCTAGCTAAGGTCACAGAAGTAGGAATTGAAATGCCATCACCTGACTCTAGTCAGTAGTGTTTCCATTTATGAAATTATTTCAGATTTTAGTCAGCAATAATCATTTATACCATTGTCTGATAACAAACTGGATTTGAGTGGAGTCCAATTAGCAAGCTTTTTACTTAGTTCACTGACTTTTCTTATAGAAGGTACAACTGGGGGCAGCTAGGTGGAGCAATGGATAGAGCACTGGCCCTGGAGTCAGGAGGACCTGAGTTCAAATCCAGCCGCAGACACTTGACACTTACTAGCTGTGTGACCCTGGGTAAGTCACTTAATCCTATCGCCTAGCCAAAAAAAAAAGAAAAAGAAAAAGAAAGAAAAAGAAAAAGAAAGAAGGTACAACTGGGGGCAGCTAGGTGACAAAGAGGATAGAGCTCTGGCCCGGGAGTCAGGAGGACTTGAGTTCAAATCCAGCTTCAGACACTTGACACTTACTAGCTATGTGACCCTGGGCAAGTCACTTAACCCTGATTAACACTGATTAACACTGAACCAAGAAAAAAAAAAAAAAGAAGATATAACTGATACCATTTGATATTCTGCAGATGTGAAATGGGAGAGAGGGGGCCACCACCACATGATTTCAGGAATGCCATCCAGTCTCTCCCTGGAGCAGCAGGGAGTTATTTAATGGGGCAGGGACTGGAAAAAAGACTGTTTTATAATGCTCTCTGTAGCTGGAAGTCTGTTACAAAAGCCGCCCTTTGATGCCTCAAGAACCAAGGAGACTTCTCATGGAGCTCATACAAGAAGGAGGGATGGGGGAATAAACAGGCACCAAAACCTGAAAGGGATGAGGTAAGTCAAAATGATGATTTATGGATCAAGAAAAAAGACTAATTAAGAAAAACCAAAATGGAGAACGCAGTGAAGACAAGTGGACTTGGAGAAAAGGGGCCAAGGTTCTAGCTCCAGCTCCGCTATTTACAAACTTGTGTGACCTCAGGCACTCGACTCTATAACAGATATATATTGATATATATCAACTATATATTGACATATATCAACCATACAATGAGATGACTCAACTTCTCTGGGCCTCAGTTTCCCAACCTGTAAAATCAGGCTGTTGGATCAGATGGCCTCTAAGATACCTTTCAGTTCTAATCACTGTTCCTGAGTGGGGTATTTATAGCCAGGAGAAGAACAGGTTAAGAGATGAGGTTTATAAAATTCATATAACGGTGATGCCTATGCTGTTCTCCGACTCTCCTAGAAATAAAACAAGAGAACATGTTTAGGTTTCAAAACGAGGGACTTAGGCCATTCATAAGCAAGTCTCCTCACTGATTACTCACAGTTACTCACTGAAATGGAATGTTCCGGAGTACGGCTTTTTGAGTCAGTGGTTTCATGTTGTTAAATCCCTTTTCTATCAGATTCCTTGAGCCAAGAACCCTTATCTCTAAACGCCTGGACACCTAGTACTCATGCTGAAAGCCAGAGAGGAACAAGGTGAAGGGCTATTCTGCCAGAGTCCCAATTCTGGCCGGCAGTATTAATCCTCTGTGAACACAGAGACAGCAACCAAAAAGTACCATAACTGTACATCACGAGCCCGGAAATGGGCAGTCAGCAAACCCTGGGCTTCAAATCCTTCTTCAGACACTTACTAGTTGTGTGATACTGGGCTAGAGTCACTTAAGACTCTCTGGGCTTCATTCTTCACCTATAAAATGAAGGGCTTGGACTGGAAGGAAGGAAAGAAAGAAAGAAGGGGAAGGAGAAGAGAAAGGGGAATAAGAAGGAAGGAAGGAAAAGAGGGAGGAAGGGAGGAAAAGAAAAAAGAAAGGAAGGAAACAAGTATTTATTCTATGCCTATTATGTGCCAGGTTCTATGCTAAGCACTATGCTAAGCACTAAGGAAAGAACGGATGGCTGAGAGGAAGGAAAGAAGAGGATAGGAAGGAAACAAGCATTTATTATATGACTATTATGATGTGTCTGGCGCTGTGCTAAGCACTTTATAAATATTTCACTTGATCCTCACAACCACCCCCGGAGGTAGACGCCATTATTATTTTTCCATTTTACAGCTGAGGAAACTGAGGCAGACAGAGGTTAAGTGATTTGCCCAGGGTCTGAGGCAGGATTCACACTCAGCTCTTCCTGACTCCAGACCCAGGACTCTATCCACCATGCTATCTAGCTGCCTCGATGGCCCCTTCCAGCTATAAAAATCTATGAACCCAGGATTCTACCCCCGTCTCCCGACCACTATGATTTGGACAAAGTCAATCCAAAGAAAACTCTACCAATAACTGACCTGGCATTTCACCATGACAGTAAAGTGACCCAGGGTTCCCTGTGGCAGCTGAGTTCAGGCTCAGGTAGGGATTACTAAATACGAAGTTTCAAACGTGGGTCTAGTGAAAGACACCGTCTATTGTCCAGCTCAGTTAAAACAGTCTCGTCCCCAGAAGGTTTGCCACCAGATGATGGAATGCTCTGGTCATGGTGACTGATGAGAACCATCTACAAAGGTGTGGAAGGGCTGCAATAGGCACCAGTGGAGGGACTGTGGCTCTGATGATACTAGAACTTTGGGAGTATCTGAAGACATCCAATGAAAGCCCTTCCTCCTTCCCTCCAACCCTCCCAAGTTCTAGCACTTCTATACATTACATGCTTCATCCTCTATCTTTGCAGCAGCTCTTTCCAGACAGGGCTCAAGCAAGGGTGTGCTCACGAGAGCTGACGTTAAATTTTCAGTATGAGCATTTACACCTTGGAATTTGACCAAATGCTACAAATCAGGGCTTGACTTACTGTCTTGTTGACTGCCTAGACTTAAGAAAGTAATGGAGAAACATTATAGATGCAGATTAAATTTGAAAGTATGTCTTGTATACTTTTTTTTCCCACAGAGATCCAGTTGTTAAACATTTATTATCACACCCCTGGGTTCAACTTCCAATGGGGCTGCTTCCTAATTAGAGATACATATGATGGAGAAAGCACATACCCTTATGAATGGTCATCAGCAGGTCTTCAGCTTTAAGATCATCAAAGCAATTCACCTCAAACCCCAGTTTTGAGAGCCTGGAGACAGAGTAGGGGAAATGTTAAGTCCTGCCCAGGGAATCCAAACACCTTCCAGGCCCTCCATAGTTAGGCTCCAACTTGCTTTTCCAGCCCCAATTCGTGCACGCTTCACCCCCACTCCACTGCTCTCTAACCTGGTCCTGCCCAATTCTGCCTTTTTGGCTTGGGATAAACTGTCCCCGGGCCTGATCTAGGGTCCCCTCAATCCATCTCCTCCTTCAGGAAACAGCTCAGGTGCCCCTTTCTCCATGCAGCCCTCGCAGTGCTCCCCAGCTCTCTCTGGACCATCTTGCTACTATCAAGTACACAACTCAATTAATTAAACAACTACAGGCCACTCTACTTTGCATTTGCTGCCCTGCCTGGTTTCAATTCCACAGATCAAGATTCCCCTGTGCGGGGTTACCCCCGGTGCCCACTCCCTTCCCCACCCCGTTTTCATGGCCTCTTCTGTGTGTTGTCTCCCCACTTAGACTGTAAGCTTCTTGAGGGCACAGACTTTCTTGCTTTTTATTAATTGTATCTCCAGCACTTAGCGCAGTGCCTGGCACATAGCAGGTGCTTAACAAATGTTTATTGGATTGGGAAATGAACAAGTCTTTGTTGAGCACCTACCTTTATGTCAGGCACTGTACTAGTGCTGGGGATATAAGCACAAAGAATAAAAACATCTCTACTCAATATGAGCTTACATTCTAAAGTACTGAGGATATAAATCTATATATACATCTATATACCTATAATATATAGTATAATATATAATGCATAAAGTAGAATATAGTACATATATAATAAAGTATACTATAGCATATATGGTATAATATAGTACATATAATATATAAAGTATAGTATAATATAGTGTATATATAAGATATAAAGTATAATATGACATATATGGCATAATATTATATATAAAGTATAGTACAATATAGTATATATAATATATGAAGTACACTATAGCATATGTAGCATATATAAATATATAAAGTATAGTATAATATAGTATATATGTAATAAAGTATACTATAGCATATATAGTATACTATAGTATATATAATATATCGTGTAGTATAATATAGCATATATAGTATAATATAGTATGTATAATATATATAGTATAATATAGTATATATAATATATAAAGTATACTATAGCATATATAGTATATGTAGTATATATAATATATAAAGCATAACATAGTGTATATAATATATAAAGCATAATATAGCATATATAGTATAATACAGTATATATATAATATATCGTATGATAAGATATTACATGTTATATGACATACAAACATATTTACATTATATGTAACATACAAATATAATTTATATATACAAATATATATTTATACACACACATATATAATGATATTATATATAAAGAAATTGCCAGACTAGTCTACCTGATATAGCGACTATTCCTTTCACATGCCCCCATCAATCAACAAACATTTATTTAGCACCTACTATGTGCCAAAGACTGAGGAAGCAAAGATTAAAAAAAAAAAAAAGCCCCTGCCCTCCAGGAGCTTACATTCTACTGGGGGAAGACCACATGTACACATAGCAGTATATATAAGAAGGATGGGAAGTGGACCCAAGGTCACATTAGAGGGGAAGGTACTAACAAGGAGGGGAAATAGGAAAAGTCTCCTGCAGAAGATGGTGTCTGAGCCCATCTTAATGGTTAATCTAAAGCAATTGGAGAAACTATTTCTCCAGAAGTAAACTGCAGGGAAAGGAAATGAGAATTTCAAAGGACAGTTTTGTCGGTGGCCAACAAAAGCAATCAGCTACAGACCCCAAGCCCATGCATGGAGTCTCCCAGGGGACTATTTGAAAATCCTTTTCATTTCAACAGAAAGGGAGAAAACCAAATTTTGCCAAGCCGCAGTCCCTCCCCGCTGATGCTCACTTACTTACAACATCTGCTATCTATCCCTCCCTCATCAGACCTTTGGTCAGTCCGTAGGGGACTGAAGTATGAAAGTTTTATCTTTTCCTGTGTAAACAGCTTGTACTTCTCAACCACACTTGAACCTCTGAGGATAAGACCTATTTCTTTGCTTTTTATCCCCTGTCCCTGGCCTAACATAACGCAGAGTATATGGGATGAGTTTAATAAATATTTGATTGATGAATGAATGAATGAATGAATGAATGAATGAATGAATGAATGAATGAAAAAACAAATCACATTCAGGCACTTGGCTGGGCACATGGAGGGGGGGAGATGTGCTGAAACCTGCTCAGACCAGCTTATGACCTCAGAAATCAGCATATACTACAAATCAGGACTTGATTTGTTATTGTTGATTGTCTAAACTTAAGAAAGTGATAATGATGCAAATTAAAGCTCACGCCCATCAGACAGGTCAAGCTGACAAGAAAGAAAACAAGATTAACGTTGGAGAGGGTGTGGACTTGGTGAAGCTGTTGTCATTCTGGAAAGTAATTTGGAACTATGCTCACAAAGTTACTAACCGGGTTTTTGACCCAGAGATACCACTATGAAGCCTGAAACCCTAAGCAGATCAAAGAAAGGGGAAAAGATCTCATATATACAAAAATACCGACAGCAACTCTTTTTGTGGTGGCAAAGAATTGGAAGCTAAGGGAGTGCTGATCTATTGGGGAATGGCTGAATAATTAGGTATACGAATATGATAGAATATTACTGTGTGGAAGAAATGATAAAAAGGACAGTTTCAGAGAAACCTGGAAAGACTTGTATGAACTGATAAAGAGTGAAGTAGGAAGAATCAGGAAAACAATTCAGACCAACATCAACTCCGTAAAAACAAACAACTGATAAATATAAGTAATATTTCAACCCATTCAACTGACACTGATCTTGACCCCTCCCCTCTTCTATTTATCTAGATGGTCTTAAGAGTTGCTTTGGTTGAAAAATTCACCACTCTGAAGCCAACCTATCACCTACTAAAGGGCCTAATAGGTGCTTAAGGAATTTTTCCCAAATTAAGGCTAATAATGACCTCTTTTAAAAGTGAAATTAAATAGATAAAATAGGGACATCTTTATGAAAGAAAGCATTTCCAGCTTATTTCTGAACAGGGGGGCCCTTTTCTATGGAAAAGGACTCTGAAGGAAGAGGCCCAAGTTCAAATCCTGACTCTGCCATTCAGTGGGTGATCCTGGACAAAGCAGTGAGCCTCCTCATGCCTCAGTTTCCTTAACTGTAATACTTAGGGGGTTAGACTAAATGACCTTAAGGTCTCTCCCACCTTGAAATCTATGATTCTATGATCTTTATTCACCAAAAAGAGCCATCTTCTCTCCTGCCTTACTATCTGATTGCCACTTAGAAATTTTATAAGACACGCATTCCAACATGACAATTTGTTTCTGATAGAAGATAGGATAAGATGTGTAGACTACCTTAGTTTAAGGTTCTCTCGGTCTGCTCTGGTGCCACGCCTTTCTGGCAAAGTCAAGTGCCAGAAAAACCGCTCGTGATTGAAGATCAAAGCTATGCCTCTCCTCTTGTGATCCATTTTGTACCTTTCTGCTGGATCAATTAAGTCACTGTTCATGAAAAGTCAAAGAATAAGAAGTGTGAGTCAAATTCACCCAGTACCTGTACCAAGTAATGTCAGTTAATTTATCAATAAGGATGATTAAGTGCCCTTCGTGCCAAGGACTGGGTTAGGTGGTGGGGAAACAAACAAACAAACAAAAAAATGAAATAGTCCTTGTCCTCAAGTAGCTTATATTCTATCAGGATAGACAGCAAATAAAGAGTATAGGGATTGGGAATGGACCTGTAAATTCCCTGTTCCAGGGAAACTCCAAGATAAGGAAACACACTTTCTACCAATGTAGGTCAGCACCTTCTCTCCAACTTATAATTTTAGAGAAGCAGTCCTTAACCTGGGGTCCTGAATTCTTAAAAGAAAAATGCTGATAACTATTTCAAAATAATTGATTTCCACTGAGATACTAACGTGCTGTCGGTGGAGTTGTGAACTGATCCAACCGGTTTCTGGAGAGCAATATGGAATTACGCCCAAAGGGCAAACAAACTGTGCGTACCATTTGACCCAGTAATACCACTCCTAGGTCTGTATCCCAAAGAGATCATAAAAAAGGGAAAGGGACCCACATGTACAAAAATATTTGTAGCGGCTCTTTTTTGCAGTGGCAAAGAATTAGAAACTGAGGGGACGCCCATAAACTGGGGAATAGCTAAACAAGTTGTGGTATGATTATGATGGAATATTATTGTGCTACAAGAAATAATAAGCAAGATGATTTCAGAAAAACCTGGAAAGTCTTACATGAACTTATACAAAGTGAAGTGAAAAGAACCAGGAAAACATTGCACATGGTAACAGAAATACTGTACCAGGAAGAACGGTGACTGACTTAGCTTTTCTCAATTCCAAAGGACTCATGATGAAAAATGCTATCTGCCTCCAAAAAAAGAACTGTTGCTGTCTGAATAAAGACTAAAGCATACTTTCTTTTTTCCTTTCTTTTTTTGTTAGAGTCTTCTTGCACAAAATGACAACTATGGAGATGTTTTACACGATTACACATGTTTAACCTATATCAGATTGCTTACCATGAAGGGGACAGGGGTGGGAATGGGTGGGAGGGATATAATTTGGAACTGTAAACTTTAAAAAAAATGTTAAAAATTGTTTTTACATGTAATTGGGGGAAAAATCATTTAAAAATATATATAATTTATTTCCTTTGCAATCCTTTCTATTTTATTTAAAGACATGAATCTGTAAGGGGTCCATTAGCTTTATCAGACTGCCAAAGAGGTTCAGAACACACACACACACACACACACACGTTAAAACTCCTGCATCAAACTTTTCAAGAAGTGCCAGAAACTTAGCACCCTTTACCCATCTTTCCTCCTACTCTGTCACAGTCACAGCAGAAGTGAGCCACAAAGGACTGAGATCCATTTTGTATTCTTGTCTTTCTTCATAACTTCCGTGGCCAAAGAATTAGGCCTGCTCCTAATGCAGGGGTTCTTAATAAAAGGTCAATGAATTTTTAAAAATATTTGATAACCACATTTCAACATAAATGAATTTCTCTGTAACCCTGTGTATTTTAAGGACAGCTAGGAGCACAGTGGATAAAGTACTGGGCCTGAAGTCAGGAAGGCTCATCTTTTTTATGTATGTATGTATGTATTATTTATTACTGCCTCGGGTATTTGCTTAACCCTGGCCAAGTCACTTGATCTATTTGCCTCCGTTTTCTCATCCATAAAATGAGTTAGAGAAGGAAATGGCAAACCACTCAAGTATCTTTACCAAGAAAACCTCAAATGGAGTCACAAAGAGTCATATAAGACTGAAAAAGACTGAACAATGAAATGATTAAAGTTTTTCCTTGTATTCACCTGGAGATTCTCTGGAGATTCTATCCTGGCTGACTAGGTGGCACAGTGGTTAGAGCACTGGGCTTTTGAGTCAGGAAGATCCGAGTTCAAATCTGGCCTCACATACTTACTAGCTATGTGACTCTAGACAAGTCACTTAACCTTTTTATGCCTCAGTTTCTTCATCTGTAAAGTGATAATAATAGCACCTATCTCCCCAGGCTGTTGTGAGGATAACATGAAATAACATTTGTAATGTGGTTTGAAAATCTTAAGGTACTTTATAAATGTTATTATTATTATTATCATTATTTACTATTCCATCCATTATTCATTGGTCCATGTTCTACCCTCTGAGGATAAACAGAAGTAAATCTAATCCATCTTCCACATGACAACCCTTAACCTCGATGGGTTTCAGTTTCCTCATCTGTAAAATGAGGGCCCCCTGATGTTCCTTCTAGCTGCACTTTTCTAACAGTATTGTCCTTTCTTCTCCAGGCTAACCATCTTTAGTTCCTTCTCAGTCACCTATCTTTAAACCTTCTCATCTTCCCAGTTCCTGTCGTCCGGACACACTGCCGTTTGTCAATGTCTTTCCACGGCGCCCTGAACTAAACATGTTCCAGATATGGTCTGGCCAGGATCAATTACTGTGGGACTATCCCATCCCAGATTGTAGATACCAGGCTTTCTTCTCTCATGGAAGCCTGGGTCAGGCTAGTTTTCCATCTGCCATGAGAACAGCTGGTTCATCATCATCATCGTTGGACCATGGATCAAAGAACTGGAATGGCCTTGAGTCCAACCATCACAGTTTACAGATGAGTAAACTGAGGCAGAGTGGTTAAGTGATTCATCCAGGGTCATATAGTTACAAAGTGTCTGATGTGGGATTTAATAATTACACTATGAACACTTTCAGTTTACAAAGTGCTCTCACTCCCAAGGGGTCAGCAGTATCATCACTCACCCACTATACAACTCATCTATTTAATAAAACTTGGTTCTACTCAGCTCCAAGAGTTAGCTCTTAATGCTTTGATCTCCCCAGGCTCCTTTAAAACCCTCTCCTCATTCTGCCATTAGCACCAGCCAAGAGTCTTTATTAGAAAAAGACCTATTGGGGCAGCTGGCCTTGGAGTCATGAGGACCTGAGTTCAAATCCAAACTCAGACACTTGACACTTACTAGCTGTGTGACCCTGGTCAAGTCACTTAACCCTAACTGCCTCACCAAGAAAAAGACCTATTACCTTCCAATTAAGGCATCCACTTCTGTCACATTTTGTCCAGCATCCCCTAAAAACAAAAACAAAAGAGTTTTTGAGATGGAAATGCATCAGGAAATGTTAAATGCCCTCTCTTCCACACCTACCAAAGGCTTGCTTCTTCTTCAAAAGTGATGTTTAAAAAACTTGAATCTTCTGGTTTAGTGTATCTTACATATGTCAGCTTTGGAAAGTGTTGTTTGGCTCACAAATCATTTGCAATCTTACTAAGCCTCCATCTTTGGGAGGGATGGTTGGCTCGTCTGCATGTTTTAATTATAGAATGATAAAAAATTTTTTAAAATATTTCTTCTCAAGGCAAGTTGTTCTCTTCAGGAGATACAATACAGCTTAAAACACGGTTTCCAATTCAAGAAGTCCCACGTTTGTTTACATCCTCGGTATGACAACTGGCAAGCTATTCATTGCCCGCCCGCCCCCCCCCCCCCCCCCCCCCCCCCCCCCCCCCCCCCGC